TGATTAGGCAATTGTTTACTGAAGAACCTGGTTATCGTAGATTGCTTAGGCCCGGAAGATTCCAGTTTAGTACTAGATTTTATTTTTTTGTTTGGCTTATTGTCAACAATATTCTTTCTTTTTCCAGGTGAAATGCTGCTTTTCACGGAAGTTTTAATGTTTAGGGACTTGCATACTTGACTTAGATGAATGCCTACCCTTTTATGAGGACTATTCTCAACAGAAGCTGGTTTTAGAAGCGGCACAGTCTCGTTTAGCAAAATGGTTTGTGATGCAGCACCAGAAGTTGAACAAGCAAAGACTTGCTCATAAAACAAAGTTTCGTGTTCATAGAAATTAGAGGCAACTTCAACAATATTTCTTCCCGACTTCCCAATTAAATCAAGTATCTGCTCTTGGGTGACCCACGTGGGCAAACAATTACGAAGTTCCCCAATGATTTTTTCGGTTTCCTCATCATTTACTTGTAAAGTGGAAACTCTTAAAGAAGGTTCCACTGATAAAATTGTATCATCCAAAGTATCACCAGGATCATTCTTCTCAATGGTTGGTGCTTCAAATGAGCTCCCCTTCTCTTGGTCTGGCTCATTCAGGCCAATGCTAGCATTCATTTCAGCCTTTTCACCATGTTCACATGATTTGAGATAGAAACCCATTAAGAAGTCTTTCTTATTAGCCATTTCATCGACAAGCCCTACAAAATGTTTTCGCATTTTAATCGCATGCTTGCTATCAATATTCTCAGCATCCATACCAACAGTAGGGATCACCCTCTTTGGTTTCAAATATTTCACATACTCTCTTAGTTCATCATAATTCGAATGCTCACTATATGGTACAAGATGAATCTCATAAGAATCCTTGCACCTGACTGCAAACTTATTGCGCTTCACTTCATAAGTCCACCCAGTTGGCACAAAACCAACAACCTTTTCATAGCCTTTCTCAACCATAATATCCTTCATTCTCACAAAATTCGGTCTAAAATAGGGCCAAGTCTCGCCCAACACATTCCACCCAACAACATGAACATCACTCTCCCTCTCATCTTCTGTAAATATCTCACCATCCCCATATCCTAAAACGCGGAAAACTGCCATTTTCCTTGCATCCACGTGAATCTTTCTTTTACATCTCCTTGCAACCTCGGTCAAAATCTTTTCTTTCCCGACAACATAAGTAGCAACAAGAAACAAAACTCTCTTCCTCATCGCACTAAACTCCCCTCCTATCCTATCTATGACACTGACCACATAGTCAATCGACTCTTGTTGCAAAGGAAATACAAACTTGGGATTGCAATAAGTAGTATCCAAGAAAATCGCGTCGCACCCAACAAAGCCGCTCAAACAAGTATCCGATTTCATGGACTCGGAAAACCTAAAATCACCTGTATGAACATATCTTTCAAAACCCCCGTTTTTCAGGGGAACCTTGAATAGGAACTGGACTGCTCCTGGACAATGGTTGGCATCAACGAGAGTAACCTCGCAGCCATCAATTACAACGGGCTGTTGTAAAGGCAAGGAGAAGATGAAGGGTGAGGAAACTTGAAGGACGTCGATGAGGAGGCGGGAGGTTATGTGGGAGCAGAAGATGATGCCTTTAGACCAGGAGGCAGAGAGGCCGGCGTAGTGATCGGAATGGAAGTGAGAGAGGAAGAAAGAAGCGGAGAAATTAGAGGAGGAAGGGAAGCGAAAAGCGTCTACGAGGAAGCGGGTGTTAGGGATGAGTTTGGAAAGAGGGAAAGTGGAGGGAATGGGATGGAAAGAAAGGGAGGGATCGGGAGTAGAGGTATGGGAAGAGAGGGGGTTGAGAGCGGTGACATAGAGGCGGCAGGAGTCTAGGGTTAGGGTTTTGCCGTTGGGAGTGGCAGTGGGAGGAGAAGAAGCCATAGAAGCGTGTTGATTATCCGAGTAGCATTTCTTTCCCTTTCTTGATTTCTTGATTCCTTTCCGCCTACAATTTTTTTCTGGGGAAGCGGCTTATAATATACTGTTTTCGGGTCGGATTCGGGTCTTGCTATGTTGGGCCGGAGAACTGAGGATTGCTCAGCCTATGGATCTTTTCAATTATTTTAAAATTATTTCATATTTTAATTCATCTTTATTTTTATTATTGTTTTATTATTAAAATTTTAATATTTTATTTTCTGATATTCTTGTGTAAGGACAAAGTAGCCACCCATCACCTTGTACTTTGAGGGAACAATACTATCCTTCTTCTTTCTCTATTATGTTCTGTCTCATGTTCAAAAGTTAATACTTCTATTCTTACTTGATTGTATAGAGCTTGGTTTATCGTTTGTTTGTCATCTTCTTATAGATAAGGTTTATGAAGTTTTCTCTTTTTAATCCCAAATCGATAAGAACTTGAATAACTATCAAATCTTCAGAAACTAAAATATATGTCCGTTCTCTGTTAATCTAAAAATATTATCAACTTCACCTTTAAAAACCAAGTCGAACAACTTTCTTTCTCTCAATAAGTGCTTCCCAACATAAACAATCAATATGATTGCCAAATTATCGCTCTAATTCCCAGCCTGAAAATCTGACACTGAGTCAATTGAAAACTGTTGAATATTTGCAAAAACACTACATACTTAACAAGCGGCAAGCACATTTCTGGTCTAAGTTCACTAAATGTGTAAATTTATCATGCCTAAAGTGCGTAATTAACACAGCATAAAAACCCTCATAATAGATATGTAAGCAAAAAAAGTTCTGGGAGAATCTTACCAAGGTCCTAACGAGACTTAATCACTTTTTTCTCTATAAGAGCGCATGACTATCGATACTTTGACTGCCTATTTGTGCACTGATGAATTATATATAAGAAAAATAAAATAGAGGTAGGATTTGCATAAAGAGCACAAACAATCAATGCACATGATACAATTAACGCAAAAATATGTAAATTTCATTACAAAATAGTGATCTGGCATTTTAGAAGATGTGTCCTCTACTGTAAATGGCACTTGGTACAGACTAGGTCATTTGCACAATCAAATCAAAAGAAATTCAAGTGTCTGCTTACACTTCCTTCAATACTTAAAGGACTTCTTAGCATGATAGAAGACATGGAGTCTAGAAGTACGTAATCCTTTAATAATTATCCCTTAAAAGTAACAAAAAATTTTTCATCTATTTACCTAAAAAATTCAAGTCGTTTATTATTAACTGAAAATTTCTAAATCACTGATAATCAGATATTTTCATAAAATCCTAAATATCTGAATCTTTTTAAAGGTTATTAGAATCTATAGAGAAATTACTATTCCAATAATGACCCTTGAGGAAAGATTGTTACTGTCCGTCCTCCATAACATGCTTTCATACAAATGCAAATTACAATTGCTAATCCTTTAATAATTATCCCTCAAAAGCAGTAAAAATTTTCTCATCTATGTGTCTAAAAAATTCAAATCGTTTATTATTAACTGAAAATTTTTAAATCACTGATCATCAGATACCTTCATGAAATCTTAAATATCTGAATTTTTTTTTAAGGTTATTGAAATCTATAGAGAAATTACTATCCCAATAATGACCTTTGAGGAAAACTTGTTACTGTCCGTCCTCCATGACATGCTTTCATACAAATACAAATTACAATTGCTAACTTAAGTTGATGGTATCTATGTGTCATGAAGTTGTAACATTTTCTTGTATAAACATTGGAATGGTTTACTCATACCTTAACTTTTGGAGTGTAAAAAACACCTCTCTAATCAGAAGTGGGGACATCTCTCGTTGTCGGCAGACTTGAGCAACATCCCCTTAAAAGATGACGGAATATTTAGCAGGCTATCCAGATTACTACTAAGAGGGGAAAAGAAGATATATTTTCCTACCAAGGTCACCCAAGTCATTGTACATATCCCTTATTGTAGATCGGTTTGTCCCACAAGCCTCCTCCAAAGCTGACGTAACTAAACTTCCACCAACATTTAGTTCCTACAACAATGACTACATTCTATTTCTTGGTTTATATAACAAAGCCAAAAGAAATGAATAAGCCACGATTATGATCTAAAAATAGACAAGAGTACAATTTTACTTGTCATAGCCAGTAGAAGGAAATGGCATAGAAAAGAATGAATAATCAGTTTTAGGAAAGAAAAGCAAAACCATTAAGACGACGCAAACTGACTATAGCCTGATATATTTTCAATTTGAGTTTTCACTATAACATAATTCAGCCAATGACAAACAGCTCTACCTGAAGAACCATATACATGAGACATAAGGAAGTAAATTGCAAAAGAGAAATGATCCAACTTTGAGAATAGAGAACTGTAGTATGAAAATTTTTACATAAAAATCTAATGCTCATAGTAGACTAACAAGATTAATTCTAAACAAATGTAACCACGTAGATAAGAACACCAAAAGAGGACGAAGAATTAGAGAAGAAAGTAAACTAACAATATTTTCGTGGTCAGCAGCAATCTTATTTGTACACAGATACACAGCGGGCAGCACATCTTCAGGGGACAACACCAACAAACTGGTTCATGCCGAAACAGTTTTCAAGCAAGGAAAAGTAGACTGATCAGCTGTTTCCAGTACTATAAAGCGTTATCCATGACCCAGAAAATTTTTTAAATGAAATAGCCAAGTGATCTAAAGCAGTTAACCTTCTAAACATGTTGCAAAGCATAGAAGTAGCTCTAATCTTGCCCTTTTCACCTCAACCAGGTCAAAAGTTCGTACAAGATGGATATATGGAGCAGGTTCTCCATCCCTCCAGCATGCTGCCCAGACATCTCATTAATATGCAAGAATTCTACTGAGAAATAATTGCAAGTATGTGCCTCATATTAAGAAGTTCCAGTAAGCTTCTAAAGCAAGGATAGCTTGTATGCTTTAAATAAAGGAAATTGAAGTGATCATTAGGTTAATGAAACATATTGAGTTAAAAAAAGAAATAGAAAGAAAAAGAAAACTTGAAAAGTCAAATTAACTTCTCAAAGCCACGACGAGTCGAAGTGACATAGGAATTTGACAATATCAACTATAAGGTTGACAATATAAACTTCTAAGTAGGCTTGTATTTCTCCGGAGGTAGTGATACCAGAGTGGTATTTACATGTTCTCTTGTTGAGCTAGGCATGGATGAATTATCCATATATCGTGAGACATTCTTCAGGTGAGATGAGCAGTTATTAGCACAATGCATAGCCTGGGCCGAGTCGATAGAGATAGCCAATCTTTCAGCATTTTCACCAAGGCTACCCTCTTCATTACGATAATATATATCAAGTGCCACATTAATGTCTCCTTTAGTCTTTTGCAGGATACTAGCAGCATAGCTTCTCAATGATTCACTGCCATTTAATATCCAAATGAATTGATCTCTCTCTTCTTCATATTGTACTGTAGCATCATTTGGGACCAGATACTCATCTGTAATGGATTCCTTAGTCTTAGAGCCAACCTCATCCAAGTGAAATTCATTAGGCAATCGTTTACTGAAGAAGCTGGTTATCATAGATTGCTTAGACCCCTAAGATTCCAGTTTAGTACTATATTTTATTTTTTTTGTTTGGCTTATTGTCAACAATATTCTTTCTTTTTCAAGGTGAAATGCTGCTTTTCACGGAAGTTTAATGTTAGCGACTTGCATACTTGACTTAGATGAATGCCTACACTTTTATGAGGACTATTCTCAACAAAAGCTTGTTTTGAAAGCGCCACAGTATCATTTGGCAAACTGGTTTGTGATGCAGAACCAGAAGTTGTACAAGCAAAGACTTACTGATAAAACTCAGTTTCGTGTTCATAAAAATTAGACACAACTTCAATAATATTTCTTCCCGACTTCCTAATTAAATCAAGTATCTGCTCTGGGGTGACATACGTGGGTCAAACAATCACGATGTTCCCCAATGATTTTTTCAGTTTCCTCATCATTTACTTGTAAAGTAGAAACTCTTAAAGAAGGTTCCACTGATAAAGTTGTATCATCCCAAGTATTACCAGGATCATTCTTCTCAATGGTTGGTGCTTCAGATGAGTTCCCCTTCTCTTGGTATGGCTCATACAGGCCAATGCTGGCATTCATTTCAGCCTTTTCACCATGTTCACATGATCTGAGATAGAAACCCATTAAGAAGTCTTTCTGATTTCCCCCACCATGGTTTGGCTTATTCAAATTCAAGCAGTGTGAATTTTTTGACAATTCAATAACTGTTCTCTGGGATTTGAACTGGGGCCTCCCTATTGGAAAAGCCAGGAAACAACTAGAACACCATATGCCTAGGTCAAAAGTTGAATTATAGTTAAATTCGAATCTGAAGCTTTTCTTTTAAATTTTCTGTTTTTTCTTCAAGTTGGGAACTAAAAAAAGATTTCATAACAACAGCTTGAGCCAGTGCAGGCAGAATAGCTCTCATCATTACTCCAATTCTCAAATTCCGAACCTGAATAAAGCACAGTTCTCATAAAGAGTCAATTGAAAACCGTTGAATATTTGCAAGAACACTGCATACTTAACAAGTCACAAGCACATTTCTGGTCTAAGTTGATGAATGTGTAAATTTGTCATGCCTAAAGTGGGTAATTAACACAACATAAAGCCCTTCACAATATACATTTAAGCAAAAAAGGCTCTGAGAGAATCTTACCAAGTTCCTAACTTAATCTCCTTTTCTCTACAAGAGCGCATGAGATTAATCATAAGGTTTTTCTTCCGCCGGTACTTTTGACTGCCTGTTTGTGCACTGATAAATTCTATATAAGAAAAATAAAATAAAGGTGGAATTTGCACAAATAGCATGCACATGGTATAATTGACACGAGAATATATGTGAATTTCATTACAAAATAGTCATCTGGCATTAGAAGATGTCTCTTACTGCAAATGGAACTTGTTACAGAATAGGCCATTTGCACAATCAGATCAAAAGAAATTCAAATGTCTGCTTTCACTTCCTTCAATACCTAAATGACACTTCTTAGCATGATAGAAGACATGGAATCTAGAAGTATGTAATCCTTTATCAATTGCCCCTCAAAAGCAGCAAAAATTTTTTCATCTATTTGCCTAAAAGATTCAAGTCGCTTATTATCAACTGAAAATTTCTAAATCACTCATTATCAGATTTCTTCATGAAATCCTAAATATCTGAAACTTTTTAAAAGTTATTGGAATTTATAAAAAAATTACTACCCCAATAACAACCCTTGAGGAAAAAATTTGTTGCTGTCCGTCCTCCATGACATGCTTTCGTACAAATGCAAATTACAATTGCTAACTTAAGTTGATGGTATCTATGTGTCATGAAGTTTTAACATTTTCTTGTATGAACATTGGAATGGTTTACTCATACCTTATCTTTTAGAGTGTAGAAAATACCTCTCTAATTAGAAATGGAGGAGGAGGAGCAAGTAACATCTGTCTTTGTCAGGATACTTGAGCAACATCCCCTTAAAAGATGATAGAATATTTAGCAGGCTATCCAGAATACTAGTAAGAGGGGGAAAAAAAAGAGATATTTTCCTACCAAGGTTACCCAAATCATTGTACATATCCCTTATTTTAGATCGGTTTGTCCCACAAGCCTCCTCCAAAGCTGATGTAACTAAAGCACGGTACCAAAAAGAAGTACCAACCCATTTACAAAAGATTTACAACGTAGTTAGCATATCAACGACAATCCCAAAATCCTCCTCACTCATCATATCATGCCCTAACAAGCTTGTCCCAAAATAATTAAACCACCTATCTCTTAATTTATACAACTCTACTTCTTTCCCTTCAAATGCTCTTGCATTCCTTTCTTTCCAAATAACCCAAAAAAGGGTCAATGGAATTAAAGTAGAAACATTACCATTGATCATAAGCTCATCCCAAGCCCAAATTTCGTCCCTAACATTCCCAGCCACAACCCAATTAATTCCCAGCAGCCCAGAAATTATACACCACAAATTATAGGCCACAGAGGCACCATAAAAGTAAGTGATTGCAAGTTTTCTCTGCACAAATACAAAGGTAGCATCTATTAACAATAACCTGCCCCCTCCTTTTTAATTTATCCATAGTGAAAATACTTTCCCTGCTTGCTTCCCACGCAAAAAAGGCTACTCTAGGAGGAACTTTAGAATTCCAGTTTTGTTTAAAAGGGAAATCCCAACTGTCATCCCCATCCCCACCATTCAGCATTCTGTAGTATGAATGGACAGAAAATTTTTCCCTTTTTTCTAACTTCCAGGAGACCTGATCCGAGCCCTCTTTCACATTCTGCTTCTCCAAAAGCACCAAAAGTTCTTCAAACTTTTGATTTTTCCCAGTCATTTAAGTGTCTATTCACATTAACAGACCATACGACACAATCATTGCAAATCCGGCATGCATCAGTTGTCAACATCGATTTCGAACGGGCAATGGTACATTCTATTTCTTGATTTATAAAACAAAGCCAAAAGAAATGAATAAGCCATGATTATGATCTAAAAATGGACAAGACTGCGATTTTACTTGCCATAGCCAGTAGAAAGAAATGGCATAGAAGAGAATGAATAATCAGTTTTCGGAAACAAAAGCAAAAGCATTAAGACCACGCAAACTGACTATAGCCTACAATATTTTCAATTTGAGTTTTCACTATAACATTATTCAGCCAATGACAAACAACCCTTCCTGAATATATTAGCCTTGAGGCTACCGAACAAGGAACCATAACCATGAGACATAAGGAAATAAATTCCAAAAGAGAAATGATCCAACTTTGAGAATAGAGAACTGTAGTATGAAAATTTTTGCATAAAAACCTAACGCTCATAGTAGACTAACAAGATTGATTCTAAACAAATGTAACCACGTAGATAAGAACATCAAAAGAGGACGAAGAATTAGAGAAGAAAGTAGACTAACAATATTTTCACGGTCAGCAACAATCTTATTTGTGCACAGATACACAGCAGGCAGCCCATCTTCAAGGGACAACGCCAACAAACTGGTTCATGCCAAAACAGTTTTCAAGCAAGAAAAAAGACTGATCAGCTGTTACCAGTACTATAAATGGTTATCAATGACCTGGAAATTTTTTTAAAAGAAACAGCCAAGTGATCTAAAGCAGTTAACCGTCTAAACATGTTGCAAGGCATAGAAATAGCTCTAATCTTGTTCTTTTCACCCTCAACCAGGTCAAAAGTTCGTAGAAGATGGATATATAGCAGGTTCTCCATCCCTCCAGCATGCTGCCCAGACATCTAATTAATATGCAAGAATTCTACTCAGAAATAATTGCAAAGTATGTGCCTCATATTAAGAAGTTACAGTAAGCTTCTAAAGCATGGATAGCTTGTATGCTTTAAATAAAGGAAATTGAAATGATCATTAGGTTAATGAAACATATTGAGTGTAAAAAGAATAGAAATTGGGGGAAAAAAAAAAAAGAAAACTTGAAAAGTCAAATTAACTTCTCAAAGCCACGACAAGTAGAAGTGACATAGGAATTTGACAATATCAACTATAAGGTTGACATTATAAACATCTTAAGTAGGACACCAACCATGTTCTATAGGAGTGTATTTCTCCGGAGGTAGTGATACCAGAGTGGTATTTACATGTTCTCTTGTTGAGCTAGACATTGATGAATTATCCATATATCATGAAACATTCTTTGGGTGAGATGAGCAGTTATTACCACAATGCTGAGTCTGAGCCGAGTCAATGGAGATAGCCAATCTTTCAGCATTTTCACCAAGGCAACCCTCTGCATTACAATAATATATATCAAGTGCCACATTAATGTCTCCTTTAGTCTTATGCAGGATACCAGCAGCATAGCTTCTTAATGATTCACTGCCATTTAATATCCAAATGAATTGATCTATCTCTTCTTTGTATTGTACCGTAGTATCATTTGGGACCAGATACTCATCTGTAATGCATTCCTTAGTCTTAGAGCCAACCTCATCCAAGTGAAATTCATTAGGCAATCGTTTACTGAAGAACCTGGTTATCATAGATTGCTTAGACCCCGAAGATTCCAGTTTAGTATTAGATTTTATTTTTTTGTTTGGCTTATTGTCAACAATATTCTTTCTTTTCCAGGTGAAATGCTGCTTTTCACGGAAGTTTTAATGTTAGAGGACTTGCATACTTGACTTAGATGAATGCCTACACTTTTATGAGGACTATTCTCAACAAAAGCTTGTTTTGAAAGCGGCACAGTATCATTTAGCAAACTGGTTTGTGATGCAGAACCAGAAGTTGTACAAGCAAAGACTTGCTGATAAAACTCAGTTACTTGTTCATAAAAATTTGAGACAACAACAATATTTCTTCCCGACTTCCTAATTAAATCAAGTATCTGCTCTTGGGTGAGCCACGTGGGCAAACAATCACGAAGTTCCCCAATGATTTTTTCGGTTTCCTCATCATTTACTTGTAAAGTAGAAACTCTTAAAGAAGGTTCCACTGATAAAATTGTATCATCCAAAGTATCACCAGGATCATTCTTCTCAATGGTTGGTGCTTCAGATGAGTTCCCCTTCTCTTGGTCTGGCTCATTCAGGCCAATGCTAGCATTCATTTCAGCCTTTTCACCATGTTCACATGATCTGAGATAGAAACCCATTAAGAAGTCTTTCTTATTAGTCATTTCATCGACCAGCACAACAAAATGTTTTCGCATTTTAATCGCATGCTTGCTGTCAATATTCTCAGCATCCATACCAACAGTAGGGATCGCCCTCTTTGGTTTCAAATATTTCACATACTCTCTTAGTTCATCATAATTCGAATGCTCACTATATGGTACAAGATGAATCTCATAAGAATCCTTGCACCTGACTGCAAACTTATTGCGCTTCACTTCATAAGTCCACCCAGTTGGCACAAAACCAACAACCTTTTCATAGCCTTTCTCAACCATAATATCCTTCATTCTCACAAAATTCGGTCTAAAATAGGGCCAAGTCTCGCCCAACACATTCCACCCAACAACATGAACATCACTCTCCCTCTCATCTTTTGTAAAAATCTCACTCTCCCCGTATCCTAAAACGCGCAAAACTGCCATTTTTCTTGCATCCACATGAATCTTTCTTTTACATGTCCTTGCAACCTCGGTCAAAATCTTTTCTTTCCCGACAACATAAGTAGCAACAAGAAACAGAACTCTCTTCCTTATCGCACTAAACTATCCTCCAACCCTATCTATGACGCTAACCACATAGTCAACCAACTCTTGTTGCAAAGGAAATACAAACTTGGGATTGCAAAAAATGGTATCCAAGAAAATCGCGTCACACCCAAAAAAGCCGCTCAAACAAGTATCCAATTTCATGGACTCGGAAAACCTAAAATCACCGGTATGGACATACCTTTCAAAACCCCCGTTTTTTCAGGGGAGCCTTGAACAGGAACTGGACTGCTCCTGGACAATGGTCTCGCATCCATCAATTACAACGGGCTGTTGTAAAGGCAAGGGGAAGATGAAGCGTGAGGAAACTTGGAAGACGTCTATGAGGAGGCGGGAGGTTATGTGGGAGCAGAAGATGATGCCTTTAGACCAGGAGGCAGAGAGGCCGGCGTAGCGATCGGAATGGAAGTGAGAGAGGAAGAAAGAGGCGGAGAAATTGGAGGAGGAAGGGAAGCGAAAAGCGCCTACGAGGAAGCGGGTGTTTGGGATGAGTTCGGAAGGACGGAAAGTGGAGGGAATGGAATGGAAAGAACGGGAGAAATTGGGTGTAGAGGTATGGGAAGAGAGGGAGTTGAGAGCCGCGAGATAAAAGCGGCAGGAGTTTAGGGTTAGGGTTTTGCTGTTGGGAGTGGTAGTGGGAGAAGAAAAAGAAGCCATGGAAGTGTGCGGATTATCAGAGTAGCATTCCTTTCTTGATTGATTTCTTTCTTGAACCTTGAAACTTGAAACAGGAAGGGCAAGACGGTTTCTTTCCGCCTGCAATACTTATGGTGAAACGCCTGATATATACTGTTTTTCCAGGTCGGGTCGGTTCGGGTCTGACCGAGGGGTACGAAACGGGTCGGATGGGTGAGTCGGTCCACGTTCGGGCTTGGTATGTCGGGTCGGGTGGATGAGGATCGCTCAGTCTTTGGATATTTTCTATTATTTTAAAATCATTTGATATTTTAACTATTTTTAATTTACTTTTATTTTTCTTAGTGTTTTATTATTACAATTTTAATATTTTATTTTGTTATATATCCCCGTGTAATAATATTATTTCTTTGTGTAAATTAATTTTTGTACCAACAAATATGTACATGTATATGTATATATGAGTTATCTATGATCAAAACTAATTAATTGAGAAATATAAATTCTCATAAATTTATGATAAGATTTACAACAACACATACAATCATGATGGTAATGCAATTAATTTGCATTCATATTTTTGTATTTTGCTTATTATACATATATATATATAATAAATTATAATTAACCCGATAATACATGCACATTTATCATAATACAACTTTCTATTAAAATAACGTATGAATTTAAAATTTGAATTATATAAAAATATGTATTTTAAATCGAATTTATAATCTCTTGTAAATTATTTAATTAAGAGATATATATATATATATTAATTATAAGATAATATAAATAATTTTTAAATAATAATATTCATAAGATCACGATTCAATTAGAACTTACAATATTTTTTAAAATAAAAATGTATCTTCTAATTATGACGTAATAAATCATCCGACGAATACAATTTCTTCATCTCGGATGAAAAAAAAAAAAAAAACATCTTTAACAAAGTATAAATTTTCCAAACCTCTAATTAATCTCTACATGTAACAAATTCATCTCTCCTTGTTAGTTAATTAATATAGCTAGATGCATATATAATAATCCATGCACGAATATATATATAATCTACAGATCTATATATAGCAATGGCTTCCTGATAAGCTCACTCTGTAATTGTTTCCAACAACGGCTTCCTCGACCTCGACATGGATAACCGGTGAGAAAACTCCGGCGTCGAGAACTCCTCTATATCATCCAAATTCAGTTTCGGCACATCCGTGGTTTCCGCCGGCGGTTCACTTTCCGGCCAAACGTCAGCTTTCTTTGACTCTGGTGCGGCGACGGCCGGCAAGACCCCAACTTTCCCGCCGGCGAAGCTGCGTTTTGCGGCGAGGTAAAGGAGACCCATATCGGCAGCGGTGACGGCGGAGTGGACCCGTTTCATGGGGAGCATGAGGTAGACGTTGGCGAGCTCGAGGTCCTCGTCGGCGGCGAGAGGGGAGAACCTGCGGCCGATCTTCAACGACGAGGTGTTAACGACGAAGTGGTTCGGCGTCTCCACCATCAGCTCCGCAGCCGTCGTAGCCGCGTTTATCACTCTGATTTCTCCCGTCGGCAAGATCACTTTTGTTGACTTTCCCCCCGGAGTTGACAGAGTGCAGGAAACATAATTCCCCATTATCGACAACAAGAACCCAATTACATATATAAATAAATAAATATATATATATATATATATAGAGAGAGAGAGAGACGAGAGAAGAGAGAATGGTTTGATTTGAGGAAGAAGATGATGGAATAGTGAAGATGATTGAGGTGGGCGAAGAAAGTTGACACGTTTATATAGAAAGGAAGATTAAGGAAGAGGTCTAAACAAGAAAATTAAATTAATTAGAAGATTAATGAAATGGAGAGCCAGTTGGAATTGAAAATGGGGTTGACATTTTATAGTTTGAGTCCGCGTTTGGATTAATAAAAATTTAAGGAAAAAAAAAAGGGTTATTATTATTTGTTTAGATACACGAAATAAGAAGGAAGGTACATTAATATGTTTTTAATTGTTTTTGTTTTAATTTAATTAATAGTTAATTAGTATAATTATAACCTTAATCATTTCTTTGTTTCTTTTAGTTGTTAATCAAAGAAAGTTCGTGGGTTTTTCAGGTAACAATCAAAAGGCCAAATAGATACATACACCGAAGCATGTGAAGAATAATTATTGTTTATAATTACATTAATAATATTATTATGTACATCGTTTTCTTTAAATAAATTATTACTTAAAATTTCTGAATATGATGTATTTATTTTGTATATTAAAATTATTATTTTTTTCTATTAATGGTGAAATTAAGAGACTCACGAAGAAAATTTGTGTAAATTCAGTTCGTGAGACTGAATTATTAATATGATTTGTTGATTATATAAATTAAAATTGTGGTAATCATTTAAAAAACAAAGGTAGAAGAGTCATAATTTTGTATGAAAATTGAAAAGTAAAGCAATTAATTGTAGGGTGGAATGGAAAGTCAGCATTGCGTGACATTTTAGGCAAAATAATAGATTAAATAGTAAAGAATTATGGTGCCGTGGCGGTGCCCGTGACGGTGTTTGCTTATTCTCCTCCGCGTCACGGGACCATATGTACATATATATATAGATATATATGTAATTAAATTGTTTTTTTTTTTAAAAAAAAATTGAAATAACGTAGAAAATTTTTTAAAAAAATATTAAATTGGTTTTTAAATAATAATTTTGATTGTAAATGAGGACTTTGTTGAGTAACTCTAAACAAACTAATAGAAAGAATAGGAACAGATAATTAATGTTATGGAGACAGAAAAAAGGTTCGTGTAATTTAAGTTGGAAGTTACCCAAATTTCTCACTGACTTACCAACCGGCTGCCGAAAAATAAGACTGATATAATATATATATATATATATATATATATATATTAGTTTCTGTAATTGTGGTCAAAGAAAGAAATTAATTTGTTCTGGTTTAATAATCAACATATACACAAATTTCAGCAAACAGACACCGTAAGTATACTGTAGCAATCATGGTTGTTAACATTTATTTTATATTATCTCGAGGCAGTTCCATATAAATATAGGTATACAAATTCATACAAATTTAAGCAAACACAGACTATGAGTTAAGCGCAGTCTGGCAAGCATGTTTTGTATTTTACATGTTCGAGGAGAACAAGTAACATATATAGATATACATATATAACACACACATATATGTATATATGTATCTTGACTCTTTCTTCTATTTTGCATGACATGTATTATGTATTTCAGCAGACAGGGCATGCAGGTCTCCCTAAGCACAGAGAAACTTCTTCAATGATTTCTATTACAGAAGCAAACGAGGGCCTTTGTGAAGGATCTTTGCTTATGCAACGCACAATCAATCTATATACAATAACCATGAACTTTTTTAACTAAAATAAGAGGAGGGAAAACATGAATTTCATATCTACAATAAAAGAAGATAATGAATTAATATCAAACTAGCTCAAGCAACATATGAACTAACTTTTCCGACTAAACTAGCTAAGCCTGGCAATAGATTATAAGCTTATTTTGTTTAACGAATATCATTAAAAGTTATCAGTAAGGTTTTTTTTTTTTTTTTTTTTGTTTAAAAAATTAGAGAAACACAAGGTATGTTTTCGTTCATTACCATTTACAATCCTCATATTTTTAGTTTCTAGTGGGAATTTGAGATAAAGAATGAGAATCACTTACTGTTGAATTCTTTTAGAGCATCTGCTTAGAAGAAACTTTGGCTCAAAATCAACAGATTTGAGATTTATGAAGTCGAAATTCATGTTAGGCAGCAGCTGTTTTCCTTCTAGCATCTGTATGGTAGTTGTGTGTCACATTTTCAGATGATCGAAACATGTGTCATTCACAAGAAAAGCAGTCTAAAAATTCACCATACGTGACAAGAACAACCTTCTCAGCTCTATACTATCATGGATGAAAGATTCAAGTTGATATTTACTGATGATTCTTCTAAAATTTATATTTCATCTATAAAGGGAAAGATTGAGCTGGTGCAGTGCAGATTGTCCTGCAAAAATCTCAAGGACTGCTAAATTTGAGATTTCTTTTATTTAGTTACTCCATATATCTCCCTCTGTGTACCTGATAAAATATTAGCCCAAATGAGCAAATATCCTTCTTGGTGTCATTCAGTCGATTGGTTGTGATGTTGGATTTATCATTCATTTGGCCTGTGAGCAAGAAGGATTTTCAGACAACAAAAATATACTGCAATGTGGAAATAAAGACCAGATGGTTTGAAACTTACAATTCTCACAATTTGTCTGTACTTCCTCATATAGCATTTGCACCCAATATTCACCAATTTTCAAATGGTCACCTTCATCCTGCAATAAGTTTCTACATCCAGAAAGAGCCAGAAGTTCTCAATATTAAAACTTCATCCATTTACCTTCAAGCTAAGACGAGTTCTACTATATCAGTAGTTGATGAAAACACAGTTTTAAAAAATGCATTTTCAGATGATTAGAAATATGATGAGAATGAAAACATTTTGTCTTTAAATTTTAGATTCTTGAGATTATATGGTGGTCAATGGAAAAAGTACTTCAGGACCTGAAGAGTGTAACTTGCCTGGGATCCAAATGATTATGAACTATGGGGTTGGGCTTGTGCTCGTGAAGATAATTCATTCCCCTGTCAACCAGCAGATAATAAAACTACATTTTTAATTAATTAGTGTTTTTAAAGAAAAAAAATTTCATGTGTTGGATAACGAGAAATGATAAAGCATTCAATTTCCAAGCACAGATGCTTATCAGCATGGTGACTGTAGGGTGACAACGGAATATACCTTGCAATGTCCAGTGCATAGCGAAGTGCAGTGGGCAGGTCAAGTCTGACTTTTGTGGACAATATCTTATCCAAATTCCCCTGAACAACATGAAAGGTCATACATTATAAACAAAGATTAATCCCCAGAAACAATCAGACAAATGAAAACACATCTCATATTAGAGAATACTTTTGGCAGATATTCTGTGATTAAAACCATCTCATCTCCATCCACAATTGAACCGAGAAACTGCAAGATATTAGGGTGTCGAAGTTCTCGTAAGAGAGTAGTATCTTTGGCAGACAAAACCCTGCACATGCTTGAAATGGAATTCTATCAGTATCTGTTTTCCTTGAGCATTTTCTTAGATATCTTTCGACTGAAAAATAAGTTGTGCATATAAGAAAGAAGAATGAGAAATCTACAGTTACAGTATGTTTAGAATAAATGAACCATTGTTGCAGAGTTTATGTGTAAAATATACACATAGATGAAGAACTTCTACTCCGAAGAATTCTAAGTAGAATTACAAATACATTTTAAATTCGATCAAAAACATTAATACTGCATTTGGTTCAATTCTTGTTTAATTTCTTAGTTCCCGACGTTATTTCTGATATTAGTCATAAGATATAACTGGAACAAAATTTATTGTGTTTGAGTTATCATCACTCTTCTTTAAATCATTGGATGACTGGAATTGAAGTTCTGCCTCAAATAGAAGAAATTAAACTCCCACCATTAAATAAATCAAGATTAATTAATAGTAGCTCAAATACAAAAAAACTATGATCCAATTAATCATGTTAAGACTATTATGATAATTGAAAATGAAGAATTGACTAGAAATTGAATAAGAATTGAACTAAATGCAACCTAAAAGAATTTGAAATATATTATCGCATGCAATTCTACTTGGAATATATTTGAATTTTAATCTTTGATCTTCTCATAGTCATACTAAGTAAAGCTTTTAAAATAAATTCCATAAAATAGTTTCTGTTTTCAAGCATCCCCTTAAACTTACATTTTTACAGGGTGTTGTATTTGTCTCTTTATTACAGTTTTGACAACCCATGTTCCACGCCATTTGACCTTCTCAGATTCCCCAAATACACCCTACAAGAGGCAGAATCCCGTTAATTAGTTAATTTCATTAGTAAGAAATCATGAGGTAGAGATAATAAATTCTATAGATAAGCCAAAATAAAAATTTATTGTTCCCTCTCTATCTCACTACTTCCTCTATATTTTCTCCACCCGCGGGCACACAAACTCTTTCTCTCACTCTTGCCTCATTCACCAAGTAGAAACCACGACTCAAAATTTGATGGCCAGGCAACGTAATTAGAAATGAATGTTAATGTCTTTTTATCTTGATTGCAGAATAATTAATCATGTGGAAAAGTCTCTTCATTGAGGACAAGTAAGCAAATAATCTTGTTAACTTGTTATCAAAGCAAAAAAATTTCTTCCCTTAATGGATAATCACATGGATTCCTTCCACAGTGAACTAAAGAAATCTACATAACACAAAACATAGACCGTTTATTTTCTTTTTTCACCTACCTGTTCAATTGCTGAGGAATGCTGGGTATTCAATTCTGTAATATCAAAGTTTACTTCATTTGAATCCTGATCATGTCGGACAGTCTGCCCAGCAGTAAGAATTAAAAAAGAAAGAAAAAAACTGTTGACCTTCACTTGGGATTAGGCGCATTGATTTTGAACACAAAGCATATATCTATATATATTTATACATATACAAAACAAGATATTAGTTCTCTTATTGTATTGATTTATTTATCCTATCTACAATCATGTGAAGAAACTTGTAGAGAATTTACCATCGGGTGATCATTGATAAAATCCTTTCCTCCATTTACTTCCAGGATCCTGCATATATCACGATGCCTGTAGAGTCTTGCATCTGTCAAGGGCTTCATATTACAATCAAAACATGAATAAATTCACCTGTTCCCGAATTACCAATTATTGTTCAAAGGAAACGACAGTAGTCTACTTAACTTAGAACCGTACTAAAACTTTAAATAAAGAAAGCCGAAAAGAAAAAAACTAAAACAGGATTCTCATATAACACAATTTCCAGTAACACATTCAAAATGAGATGATCTGAAAACAAGAAATAAGAAAATTACAGTGCGTTGCCATCGATCAATGAGGTTGACATTAGCCTTGTAATGCAAAAGAAGCTCAACGATCGGCGCATGGCCTTCGCTGGCGGCGAGATGCAAAGCCGTCCGGTTGTCGTAGTCCTGCACGTCAGGGGAAGTACCGTCCCTCAACATTTGATTCAATCCAACTCTGTCTCCCCTTGAAGCAAAACGCAAGAAATTCCCAATTACTTGCATATCCGTGTCACTTGTGGCGTACTCATTTTGCATCTCGCCCATCGTCTCGATCCTCAACAATCCTGCAAGTAAAACAGAGGGAAAGAATAATCTTAAGAGAAAATGAACTGACAGAACCTGAATTTCTCAAGAACAAGTAGAAGCTAAGTTGAATCACTTAATTCCTAGAAACGTAGCTGTTTGTTTGGAATGCTGGAAAGTGAGGGAGAAAGAAACGAGAGAACATAAGAGAAGCTCAAAAATGGGCGGTAATGTCTAGAGAAGAAGGTTTGGGTTCAACGACCCTAAGAAAAAGACAAATAAGATTTTAAATTTTAAATAATACAAAATCTGGACAAATTAATATTATAATTAAAAGTTAAATTTATCTTTAATCTAAATTATTATTAGTTTTTGTAATAATTAAATAATTAATTTTTAATTTTTTTATTTGACTTTATCTATTTTATTTAATAAAACCATTGATTTTATTTTACTTATTATTTATTTTAAAGTAAATTTATTTATATATTATTTTTAAAAATATTAATACATTATTAAAATTAAAGTAAATAAACCATTATTAGTATTTACTTAATAAAATATTTATATTAATTTTTCCAACATGAAAATTATGCATAACAGCTTCGAAAAATACAGTTACAACACCTTACAAGATTGTATGTAAACTCAGGGACCCTTCCCCTTTGAATCTCCATGGCGCGCCTCCGTTGTCTTCTTGCAGAACTTGGAAGCAGAAAATTGCAGGAGTTTGCGTGTAGATCGTTTCAGAATCGTAGCCTCACTCGTTTTTCAGGTATTTTCTTCTTCTCTCCTTCTCTCTCTGACATATACGTAAACTCGAACATTTTGCTGCATAAACCTAGGGTTTCTTGCTTTCCTTCTCTTCCACCGACAATCGAGTGACCGACACGACCTGCACGCTCTAATCTATCGAAATCGTTCTCTCATCCGTTTCAATTAGTCGGGACCGTCTCAATCTAGTGTCGACTACGGCGGCGGTCATCTCCTCTCAGATACTGTGAAATCCATTTTTCTTTTAACATATATGCATGCAATTTCTCTGTTGAAGCGACCTGTTTATGATTTTTTTTTTTTGCAATGATATATAGATGTTTTTTCCTCCATTGATGCTTGAAGCTGATTGCAACGGAATCTTCTTGCCTTTGGGTATATATGTTATTTTGTTGCCCTTTTATTTGTGAATAAGGAAATTTTAAATTATAACCATAAACGATAGTTCCTCGTAATTTTATTTTATTTTATTTTACTTTTTTTCCTTTAGAGTCTTAATCCACCCTTTCCTCAAGACTACTCCCTTTAATTATGGGTGTTATAGATTGTCAGAGACAATAGCTACTACAGGGGTAGTTCAGCTGCAGGACCAGAAGCAGCAGATAGGTGTATATCGGCAGATCTCTTTTGTGCTAGAGAGGAAATTGGTGACGTCCGAGTCATAAAATTGCCGAGTGTGAGTGGTCTGTTTAATAAATGAGTGTGTGATTGAGTGAAAACATGGTTGTTAAGGGAAAATTTGAGTTTCAGAGTTTTCTTTCCCTGTAAAATATCTCTGGTGTTAAGAGAAAATCAGTGAGCTTTGGGAAGAAATTTGAGTTGTTCAGAGGTTTTCATGGTTTGAGAGTTTGAGATGAGAAAATTTTGAGTGGGCAAGGGTTGAACATCTTAAGGTGTGAGTTGCAAACTGATTTATGTGTCCTTCAAATTGATTGGCGTTTTCACATTGACAAGAACTTTGTTAAATAGATATAGGGGGATTATGCATGGCATTAATACGCACACATGCATGTATATATTTATGTGCAGATACAACTGGCAATTATAAGTCCATTTGCAAAGACAGTTCTTATTTTCTTGG